CCCCCCCCCCCCCAATTTATACACACTATCCTTTGGTCCGTCCTCTCATACCTATATATCCCATGTACGGGGAGGGGTAAGGCATTTCATGGGATGATGTAATTAGCATGATCATGTTAGACTTCGTTAGCATACTGGGGAGTATTAATTTTAATATGATAATGAAGCAAAGGTCGTTCACCAGACAGGTGGCCCTTGAAATCTGTCCAGGTGCATCAGAGCAAGGCCATCCTGTCTCCACAGAGCTCCCTCCTCTAGCTGCATCCTGTGTTATTCGGGCAGCCTTATCAGCTTCGACCTCCTCACCATCCACTCCGTGACTATAGTTTCGTCTTGCAAGTGTTTGAGGCATTTCTTAGCTTGGAGGGCCTCAACTTTTATCTCTTTCTCAGTCTGTTTTTCTCTGTCTGTGTTTCTCGCAGGCCTGATTTTGTCTCTCACACTCCCACATGGGTCTTAAACTCTGCAAGCTGCAGGGTCATGAGAAAGATATTTCTCCTACCCAAGTGTGAACTGCGTTCCTTATGAAAGATACAGCTACAGGGAACCATACAGGACTTTTACTGAGAAATATTAAGGAGCACCATCACAAAACGCATCTCAGCTACCCTTCATCATTATCCCTCTCATTCAGTTTAAAGATCGATCATGTCAGCTCAAGCCACCATGATCAAATTTGCATCACAATGACAGGGGAGCATGACCTCTGGCAGAAAGGATGCCAACAGGTATTACGCTTTTTATGGAGCTACTTTTTCCTGCCTCTCCATAACCATGACAACGAGAAAATAATTTAAGGCTTGTTCAGTAAAAGGCTTGAGCTGAGACTTAACCACACAATAGATATAGCTTATATTAACTGGCTGCTTTACTTATCTTGGAAGTACTAACATTTCTCATTTTTCAGAATAATGTAATATTCACTGGGGAAAAAGATTACAGATGTGTTCATTACTCAATTCTAATTAAAACATCAATTTGAAGATGGTGTACAGATAAGAAAAGTTTAGTTTTCAAGAGTTCTTTCAATAAGGAAGCAAGCCAGGATGTTATAAAAGCACTGACAAAGTACATATCCCCTCTTTTATTCTCTCAAAGAGGCCAGGTCATAGTTTTATTTAACACTTCTACCACACAAGTTTTGAACATCAATATCTAACAACTCTTCACCTTTTAAAATCAGTACAAGTGTTCTTTTATGCTGAACTTGGATTAGTTCTTACAAATCATAAACGCAGAAGTTGAAGAATTACCTTTTTCTTAAAAACCATGAAATAATTGTAAAGGAACTATTAGTGTCTATATTCCGGTCAAGCTAAAAAAACAGAGGATAGAGTTACTTGGGGGGGAGGGACAGGACGGACAGATGACAACATTTGCACTGACTTCCCTCCATACTACAAAAGACCTTTTTACAGCAGTAGACCATTAGTTTAAAACAAACAGTTGACACAGATGGCTATTAGCAAAATGTAAACAACCTTTGTATAGCTACCATTGAGAATATCTACAAAGGGCAAGCTTTTATCTATCAGAATCAAGTGCTATAAGATTACTATACCCTGGTCATTCTTCCAAGACATAGCAGAGGCATCTGGAAGAGAAGCAACAATGGACATCTTTGTGGTCAGACAAGCAGAACCTGGATGAGCTGGATTACACGTCTGGAAAAGATGAGGAAGTTAAAAAAAAAATAAAATCAAGAGAGTCTCCTAACCCCCAATAAAGTCCTTCACCTCCTTACATTAGTGGAAAACTAATGTCCGCTAACAGTTACGGTTAAGTGGAACAAGTCTGCAGTTTATACACAAGTGCCTGTGTACTTGCAGACCAGGAAGGCAAGATTTCTAACAGAAAGAGACAGGTATCTTAGTACCTCAGTCAACTCACTACAACTGGAAAGGACTACCAGCAAATTTACAAAATGTAATTTAAAAAAATTGTTAGGTTCAACCACTTGTCACAGGTGAGGAAATTTTCAAATTGGTATTTCAAAAGTTTCTCCATAAACTTTATGAAAAAGTTTGGCACATGCGTTGTTTCCTTTGACTAGGAATCAAATTCATGAAAAGCTGGTAAAGCCTCAAGGAAGTCATCAGATTGCTCGGGCACAGAGCAAGTAAGAGAGGCACATATGCCCATTAAGCACTGCAAATCCATGCACAAACAATAAGCTTTTAAGAGGACAGGAAGAGAAACCTGGTAGGCTTATAAAATTCAACCATTTAAGACCCAAATTGGGAATAACATCCACACCTAGGTACACTAATTCCAGATGACCATCTTAACCAAAGTTTGTTGATTATCAGTTTGAAATATTTAAATAAAACAGGGAATTAGTCCCATCCAAGTAAGCCTAGGTCATCTCCAAAAGATAACTGAGACCTTTCACCACACAAAATAACCATGGTTGTGATTAATAAATTGAGATCACATGTAATCTCATAGAGACACACTCCCCTATTTCCACTGACAGGCAATAAGGATGATGTTCTTTACTTCAGTAAAGCAATTATTTCTTTCCCTGACTACAACTATCTAAAATGCTACCGTTTGTGGAAGAGAATACAGAAGCCTCCATTTATGACTTAGTTGTCACTTCATGTAGCTCTCCATTATGCATGAACACAGTTTCATTAATTACATACTACTAGCCTGCTCAATAACACAGTGATGCTCATGTTTTAAACAGCTCTTTCCCATACAGGCAGGTTCCCAAAATCAGAGAACATTGCCTAACGTCTCCCTACTAATCTAGATTGACTAATTTAACTAATCCAGATTTACTAGTTACTCCAAACATCCTGTCATTCTATCTAGCATCGTGTAAGCATTTTAAAGTCCTAAAATTTGCCTCACCAATAATTCGTAGTTTATAGTCAGTAACTAGTAATATAGGATAACAAAGTTAATGAAGCACTATCCATTTACTCAATCAGGCTATTTGCTTTGACACACAAATTTTTACACTGCCAACCAAGACTGGAATAAAATAAGCTTTCTGACAGCTCACATAATTCAACCTCTGAAGCAAACAATGCTTCGGGGAACTGCTGGGAGAGATGGATAGAAAGGAGAAGAAAAAAATTAAAAAAGACATCCCAACTCCCACCTTTTCAAGACAGTGAATAGTAGAAGGGATCTGTTTAGCACTGTTTCTGACCACAACCACATTCAGCCTAACCTCACTGATTACTCCTACATTGTGGGATTCTTCATGGGCCTCCACCATAGCATTACTATTCTCTCCATAGTCAAACCAACCTAAAAATAATGGCAAGGTATAATTATTCTTTCTGTGCATAGGTTGCAGCACTTCATTGACCTGGTACACCACACAGCTACTCAAGAATGCCAGATTAGCTGCATACAAGATATGGTTTCAGGACATCAGACAAGAACCACCTATATTAAAGACATTCACAAATCAAAAGCAACATGAATGTACGACCTGAAGTTGTACCAATTTACAGTATTACAAATAAAAAAACCACTTAAAGTCAGCAACTGCAAAATACTGTTAAATATATAACTAAGTTGTTAGAGAACTACATTTTACTGGTAGAAGAGCCCAACAGGAACAAGCCATGCTGGTTTAAAACACTATAGGGTATTCGCATCTTTAATTCCAACCAGAACAATTTATGCATAACCTGTGTAAAGGCACAGACTACCACAGCAGCCATAACCTCCAGAGGTTGGAAGCTACAGAGAGCGGGTGATCTTCCATAGCACCACAGCTGACCAAACCTCCTCTTACTAGGCCACACCGAAGGGTGTTCCCTTTCTCAGCATTTACCTCTTTCACCGTCTTCTGAGAGCGCTTCTTTTCATTCCACTTACGAGCCTTCTCTGTATATACCATCTTTTCTTCCTGAGTCAGCAACTTGGAGGAAAGCAAATTGTTAAAAGGTTTTTACTGCTTCCTTCTAGTAGTCCCACAAACCAGCAAACCCCATGTAAGAGATTAATTGCACATCTCCAAGGGACATTATCAATGCTCGCCAAGAGCCGCCAACTGCTCACTCCAACTCAAACATTTCCAGTAGCTTTCTCCCTAACACCTTTCGGTCCAGAACACCTAGCAAGCACACGCTTATGAAGCGTCTTCAGACAAGGGCCGACAAGCCCTGGGCCGACAGCACCACAAACAAGAGGTCTTGCGAAATGACTCCTGCCAGCCACGGATGCCACTCCCCGCGGCACGCAAGCCAGAGCTGCCCGCCGCAGCTGAGGGGAGGCCGCCCCAGCTTGTGCTTCTCCGCTAGAGCCAGCTGAGGCCCCTCGGCATAGCCCCTTGAGCCGCTAAACACAGCCGCTGAGCCGCCCGCTGGTTCACCCTCCGGGAAAGGCCACGCCGCCGGTTTGCGTCTGCGGGATGTGTGTGCCCCGCGACCACCCCCGGCGCGCCGCCCGGATCCACCCGGCCGGGGCTGCTGCCCCGCCGGCAAGAGGCAGGCGAGCGGCTCCGTAACCCC